AACACCCTCATCTGCCTTGTGGACAACATCTTTCCTCCCGTGGTCAACATCACATGGCTAAGCAATGGGCACTCGGTTACAGAAGGTGTTTCTGAGACCAGCTTCCTCTCCAAGACTGATCATTCCTTCTTCAAGATCAGTTACCTCACCTTCCTCCCTTCTGCTGATGAGATTTATGACTGCAAGGTGGAGCACTGGGGCCTGGAGGAGCCTCTTCTGAAACACTGGGGTAAGTATGCGTTCCACCACTTTTTGATGCTTTCTTGTCTGTCAAGTTCAGAACTTCCTGCCTTTTACTCCTATGTCCCAAAACCTGTTTTCCACACTTCATGGATTCTTTTCTCTCTCTCTCTCTCTCTCTTTTTTTCTGAAAGAATAGAGCAACAAAAGGAGAGATTTATTGAAAATGAAAGTACACTCCACAGGGTGGGAGCAGGTCTGCCACTTCATGGGTTTCTAATGATAGACTTCACCCTCCTCCCTAAGCCTGGGGCCTTGAGTCTCTGCAAAGCCAGCCGTCCACCCCATCCCATCCCACATGCATGCACATGAGCACACTCTGCATTCTGACCTTAACAACTTCACTTCCACAGAGCCTGAGATTCCAGCCCCTATGTCAGAGCTCACAGAGACTGTGGTCTGTGCCCTGGGGTTGTCTGTGGGCCTCGTGGGCATTGTGGTGGGCACCGTCTTCATCATCCGAGGCCTGCGTTCAGCTGGTGCTTCCAGGCGCCAAGGACCCTTGTGAATCCCATCCTGGAAGGGAAGGTACGATTGAGATTTGTTAGAGCTGAAGCCACAGTAAGAGGGGAAGGAAAGTGGGAGGGAGTTGTGGAAACAAATGTGGTTGAATGTAGTAGAGGAATTGGGAAGTGGCATGATGATGACACAGGAGCCCCCTCAGAGCCATCCTTCTCATGTCTGTCCTGTTGCAGGTGCATCGCCATCTATAGGAGCAGAAGAATGGACGCGCTACATGACCTAGCACTATTCCCTGGCCTGATTTATCATATCCCTTTTCTCCTTCACATATTTCTCCTCTCACCTTTTCTCTGGGACTTAAGCTGCTATATCTCCTCAGAGCTCGAAAATGCCTTTTGAATTCTTTCCTTGACCTCCTGTTTTTTTTTTTTTTTTTTTTTTTTTCTTTTCTTATGTTACCTTCTAAGAGATGCCTGGAGTAAGCCACTCAGCTACATAATTCCTCAGTAACCTCGATCTAAAATCTCCATGAAAACAATAAATTTCCTTTATAAAATCTATGTCAAATTTTTCCATCTTTCATCCAGGGCTGACTGAAACTATGGCTAAGAATTGGGAGACTCTTATATTTCAAGCCAATTTAATCACCTTTCCCAGGTCATATTTCATGTCCAGTAGCACAGAAGCAACCAAGTACAGTATAGCCTGATAATCTGTTGATTTCTTAGCTGATGTTAATGTGTCTTTCTTCCTTGTGTTTCCACCCTTGGGACTGCCACCACCCCCAATTCAGGCAACAATGAAGTTACTGGATACTGTACTCTGCCGTTGGCTCAGAATTGTTATAGCAAAAATTTTAAAACCAAAAAATAAGACTGTACTAATTTCAATATGGCTTTTAAAAGTGTGACAGAGAGATAAGTTAGGTTAAAGGAACTTTGAATCTCAAAAATATCAAAAGTAAAAATTTATTCTCAAAACTTTAATGTTGTGAAGAATGGTGACAGTAGAAGCCTTCCTCTCCCATCCTCACCTTGAGGGAATAAAAATTCTTTAGGCAGGAAAAGAAATGGGAGTCAGAAAAACATTAGAATAAGACAATAATGTGGGTATCTAAAAAGGAACAAATACTTACTCCTCACATAGGGTTAAAGGCAATGGGAAAAGGGATAGGAGTAGAGGCCACAGACATATCTAGGATCCATGAATACAGTCACAGTCTGCCTCACCTCCTGAGTGAAGCTTTGCTAGAGAACCATGTAGCTTTCCCTGTGCCACCCTGGCATGAAGGAGACAGTATAGTGAATATGGCTGCAGGTTGTTTCTAGGAAACGTGCCCATAAAAAACAATGCCAATATCTTCAGAAATCCCCAGCCCTTTCCACTCACCCCTCCTGGCTAAGGAAAGTGTGAGCTTGGGAGAGAAACCCTAAGAAGAACAACACAGTTGAGACAAAGTAGCAGGAGCTGTGGGTGCTGTGTCTTCCACTGGATTTGCCATCTCCTAGCAGAAGCTCTCCCAGAGGAAATGGGTCAGCAGTGACCTCATGGCTCTAACCAGCTATGAAATCCATGAGAATATTTCTATACATGCTACCCGCATCAGTGAGTTTACATTTTAATTGGAGGAAAAAGACAAAACATTAATTAATTGATATAGTATAGTTTGGTGCAAAGAACCCTAAATCCAAATCCAGGACTCAGTACTTTGAATCTAGTATTTTAAACTTTATAAATGGGTAAAGTATCCAACACTTCTGGCCTTATTTTCTCATCCACAATGTAGAAGTAATAATACTTACCTTGCAGAGTTATTGACAGAATTTGAATAATCTTGATATATACTCAATGCCTTACACATGGTATATAAATACATAAGAAAACATTGTGGTTCTATTTATAATTAATTTATTTAAAAGAATGGATCTTATTATATGAAAAGCACTTTTTGTTTTTCTCAGCCCCTAAATGATTTAGGAGATTCTAATGTAGAGCTATGGGTGAATTTCTTTTCATATGATAATTGGAGGATATTTTTCTTCCTCCAGAATGAGAGAGGCTGAGATTGGATTGCTAAGACAACTCTCAGGATGAAAAGTTGTAATATTTGACTTTGGTTTTCAGCTCTCTAAGAAGGGATATATTTCCTCCTTATGGCCCATAAGTGTTTATTCAAGGTATATCATATGCAACAGATGTTTATGCATGTTTAGTTTGGGGAGGAGATGAAGAAAGTTCAAGGAGAAAATAATTTAAAATGCAGACTGAGAATCAGTAAGCACAGGGAATCTGAACCAGTGATGATCATGAAAATGTCCATCACAGAGCACAGAGGATTTTTAGGGCAATAAAACTATTCTGTTTGATGCCACAATGGTGAAAAATGTCTTTATGCATTTGTCCAAATCCACAGAATGTACAACAGGAGTGAGAGTTAATGTAAACTGTGGACTTTGGGTGATAATGATGTGCCAATGTAAGTTCATAAATTGTAGCAAATGTGGCACTCCTGTGGAAGATGTCGTTAATGGGGGAGGCTATGTATGTGTGGGAGCAGAGTGTATTTGGCAGCAGTCCCCAGCCTTTTTGGCACCAGGGATCAGTTTTATGGAAGACAATATTTCCACAGATAGTGGGGGAAAGGGGCATGATTTGGGGATGAAACAGTGAAACTGTTCTACCTCAGATCAACAAGCATTAACTAGATTCTCATAAGGAGCATGCAACCTAGATCTCTTGCATGCACAGTTAACAATAGGGTTCACACTCCTATGAGGTCTAATGCCACCACTGATCTGATGGAAGGCAGGGCTCAGTTGGTAACACTGGCTCGCCCACTGTGTGGCCCGGTTCCTAACAGGCCACCAACTGGTACCGGCCCATGGCTCGGGGGTTGGGGTCTCTGGGATATCTCTGCACCTTCTGCTCAGTTTTTCTGTGAACCTACAGCTGCTTTAAAGTAAAGTCTATTTTTTAAAGGGAAAGAAAAGGTAACCAATTATGATCCCAAACATAAAAAATTATAGTATGAAAAACAGTCACATTAAAACGCACAGATGTGCTAAGAAGTTTTTAGCAATGGGGTTTCAAATTTCATATAAATTCAATGATTCATGAGGCAAGAACCCAGCATTTTGGAGTTGTGTGCATTTGTGTGTGTGTTTGCGTGTAATATAGGGTTATATTGAATAACATAATGGCCAGAGTCATACAGAAATCTACAAATGCCCAACTCAGACTCCTTCCTCAAGAAGTACTGTGGAAAGCAAATTTAATGATAGTTGCATTTTATTAAAAGGATGTATTAAAAACATATTTATGTAATGTTAAAATAGCAGAATTAAAACTAATTCTAAAAAATAAGAGTAAATATTTCTTTTTATCAGCTAAAAAGTGGGGTCTTTGTTGATATTACCATAAATAGGGATACAGATCAACCTGCATGATTTTAAATCATGCGATTCTTAAAAAATTATTCGAGTTATTTGAATTCCTTCAGATTACATACATAAAGTGTGACTTCATTCATATTTAATATTACACTATTTGAAATTTACAAAATTAGTGGGTCACAGAGGCATTTTGGAGGCCAATGGGGGAGGATTGCTTTAAGCCATGGGCTCAACAGCTGCCTGGGCAACAAAGCAAAACCACATCTCTACAATATAAAAATAAATTAGTGCATGGTGGCATGCCTGTAGTCCCAGCTACTCTGGAGGAAGAGGAACACTTGAGTTCATTAGTTCAAGGCTTCAGTGGGCTAGGAGTGTGCACTGCACTCACTCCAGCCTAGGCAACAGAGCAAGAGCCCATCTCTAAAAATAAATAAATAAATTACATTTCTAAAATTTTTAAAATCACACGAAATATTTCAGGTTTGTACTTACCATATACAAACTAGGGATTTGAAGAATTAAACATTTTATTACAAATGAAGCACTTCATGCACAGAGTGGCACATAGTAAGTAGTCAATGGGCGTTAACAATTGGTGTTATTGTTATTTCCTGAGTCCAACTAACAAATCCTACAGCAAATGACACCACAGGGATGCAACCAACAAGATCCAGAATATGGAACTTCCATTAGATAAACAACTCCATTTCTTCAGCAACAATTCAGAGAGAGAAAGAAAAGCTATACATTTTTAAAAGGCTAAAGAAATAGATGAACCAAATTTATATGAAGCAATCAGAAAAACTGACACCAACTACATTAAGGAATCATTTAATTTTAGTGTGGTAATGGCATTGCTGTTATGCTTCTAAAACGTCATTATACTTTAGATTTTCATAATAAAATAATTGTGAATTAAATATGATATATCAAAGTATCTTCAAAATAACCCAGTGTGCATGTATGATTAATTGGGTGTGTTTACAAACCCATGAATTGATCATTGTTAAAGCTGGGCTTTTAAAACATTGTAGTCCTCCAGGCACGGTGGCTCATGCCTATAATCCCAGCACTTTGGGAGGCTGAGGCAGGTGGATCACCCGAGGCCAGGAGTTCGAGACCAGCCTGGCCAACATGGAGAAACCCCATCTCTATTAAAAATAGAAAAAATTAGCTGGGCGTGGTGGTGGGGAGCACCTGTAATTCCAGCTACTTGGGAGGGTGAGACAGGAGAATCACATGAACCCAGCAGGTGTAGGTTGCAGTGAGCTGAGATCATGCCATTGCACTACAGCCTGGGCAACAGAGCGAGACTCCATCTCAAAAAACAAAAACAAAACATGGTACTCTTCTCTTTACACTTTACATACTTGAAGTTTTCTGTAATACACAGTTTGAAAAAAATGCATTCCAGAAAACTCCCATAATCACAGGCAGAGAAGCATTCTGTTTGAAGTTATGTTAGTTTTTAGGCTCTTCTCATTTTTAGTTAGTTTCTAGGCCCTTCTTGTTTTAGAAGTTAGGAAACCATGAGTATCCAAATCTGCCTAAGTCTATAGGAACCTCTCAGAAATGCAACTCTAAAGAATATGTATGCAAAAACTAATAATGGCAAAGGAAAGCAAAGTATTTTTTCCTTTATTTTTGGTTTTACTAAGCCCCCAGACCTGTTTATATATTCAGTAATTCATCAAAAATACAAAAATGGTTATTGAGTACCATTATAACAATAAGTACCATACTTCGTTATCAGTATCATTAAAATAATGCGAAAAGAGATATGTTCATTGTCTTCATAGAGCTTACACTCTAGTGGGAAGAAATATACATATATCACATAATTAATTCCACAAACATATAATTACAAACTCTGAATAATTTATAGAAGAAAAACATGAGGTAAAATGAGAGAGTGTTGCACAGGAACCAGGTATAACTTGGAGGAGTTTAGAGGTGGCTTGAAGAAATGTGCCTCAAGATGAAATAAGATGATATACAGTATGTAAAGGACAAGGTTGAGGAGGGCAGAGCAAATGTTTGAGAAACTTTTTTTTTTCCCCCATTTATTTTATTGCATTTTAGGCTTTGGGGTACATGTGAAGAACTTGCAAGATTGTTGCATAGGTACACACGTGGCAGTGTGATTTGCTGCCTTCCTCCCCATGATCCACATCTGGCATCTCTCCCCTTGCTATCTCTCCCCAGCTCCCCACCCCCCACCGTCCCTCCCCTATTTCCCCCCAACTGACCCCAGTGTGTAGTGCTCCCCTCCCTGTGTCCATGTGTTCTCATTCTTCAACACCCGCCTATGAGTGAGAACATGCGGTGTTTGATCTTCTGCTCTTCTGTCAGTTGCTGAGAATGTTGCTTTCCAGGTTCATCCATGTCCCTACAAAGGACACAAACTCATCATTTTTGATGGCTGCATAATATTCCATGGTGTATATGTGCCACATTTTCCCTGTCCAGTCTATCGTCGATGGGCATTTGGGTTGGTTCCAGGTCTTTGCTATTGTAAACAGTGCTGCAATGAACATTCGTGTGCATGTGTCCTTATAGTAGAACAATTTATAATCCTTTGGATATATACGCAGTAATGGGATTGCTGGGTCAAATGGAATTTCTATTTCTAGGTCCTTGAGGAATCGCCACACTGTCTTCCACAATGGTTGAACTAATTTACACTCCCACCAACCGTGTAAAAGTGTTCCTATTTCTCCACATCCTCTCCAGCATCTGTTGTCTCCAGATTTTTTAATGATTGCCATTCTAACTGGAGTGAGATGGTACTCAATGTAGTTTTGATTTGCATTTCTCTGATGACCAGTGATGATGAGCATTTTTTCATATGTTTGTTGGCCTCATGTATTCTTAATCTATAACAGTAATAATAAAATGCTACAAACAATTGGAAAATTTAATAGAAAGGTTGGAAAATTAAATCAAGAAAATCTCACTGATGTTTAAACAGACGAAGAAACATAAAAATGGTAGAAAAGATAAAACAGACAACCAAGGAAGTCCCACCTCAGGTGCCAGAGCTAGAGAGACCAACAGGGAAGTTGAAGGGAGAAAATTATTGAAACAAATCATGGAAAATTTTCTAAATATAAAGGACCAAATTCTTTACATAGAAAGGTATTGTCAGGTGTTTATCAAAATTAATAAAGACTCATTCCGAAATAAATCATTTTCAAAATTCAGAACCTCAAGAGTTAACATCATAAAATATTCCAGTGGGGAAAACCAAAGCAGACAAAAGTGAGACTGCCGGAAGCTTCTATTATTAAGATAGTGAGAAAGGCCTTGAGGTTCTTACGGAAAACTATTTTGTATCAATAAATGTAGACCTTTTCAAAATCACAATCAGGCACAGAGAAAGAATAAAAATACAGTTGGATATGAAAGGACATAATTTTTTAAAATTGTACTTTAGATTCTGGGGTACATGAGCAGATCATGCAAGACTGTGGCATAGGTACATTCACGGCAAGGTGGTTTGCTGCCTCCAACCCGCCATCACCTATAGTTGACATTTCTCCCCACGTTATCCCTCCCCACCCTCCCTCCCACTGTCCCTCCCCGAGGCTCCCCCCAACAGACCCCAGTGTGTGATGCTCCCCTCTGTGTTCACGTGTTTTCATTGTTCAACACCCGCCTATGAGTGAGAACATGTGGTGTTTGATTTTCTATTCTTGTGGGAAGGACTTAATTTTTACCTACCACACATAGTTTTATTAGAAGTTGACTAAGGATATTATTTAGTAAAGTGAAATTGTTAATCAGGAAATGGGAAGGTAAGGAATCCAGGAAACTGAAATTAACTCAGGACCTCACCGAAAAGAGATCCTACTACAGTAGTTCCTTGGTAAGCAAAGAACATCTGTTACACAACTGATATTAGAAAACGGTAAACAATTTTTTCAACTTTTAGAATTAAGCAACAAGCAAAGCCCAAGGACACTTATTGTTACAACAGAATGTCAAAATTGTCAGCTTTGACAATATTGAAGAAAGGGTGCATGTACCTCATTTGGACAAGTGGAAGCACAAAGGGAGGGGAAAGGAAGGGTAACAATGCCAATAACGTCATCTTCCAAGAAGGAGCAAAGAGACATTGTCCATAGTTAAGGAGGAAGTCACAGAGATCACTATATTTAAATTACATTTGTAACCCAAAGAATTATATAAGATGGCTCGTGAATTAAAGCAGGGTTTTAGAAATAGCACTATCATTCAGTCACAAGAAGTCTTCAACCTAACTCCTAGGGAGATTTGAAGCTGTAAGAGCCCTTCAGAGTTGGCCCAAATTAAGGAAAGGGTTTAAGACCTTTGTACTCCCACACTGGCCCATCATTATAGGTGGGCTCTTTCTGGGAAGTGGAGTAAAATCCGATGAGGCAGCTTTCATCACCTAAGGCAATTCCGGGGGATGACTGACAGCCAAGGGCTATCAGCCAGCAACATTCCCAGCAATGAAAGAATAAATCCTTCAGTCCCGGGCCGGGCGCGGTGGCTCACGCCTGTAATCCCAGCACTTTGGGAGGCCGAGGCGGTGGATCACGAGGTCAAGAGATCGAGACCATCCTGGTCAACAAGGTGAAACCCCGCCTCTACTAAAAATACAAAAAATTAGCTGGGCATGGTGGCGCGTGCCTGTAATCCCAGCTACTCAGGAGGCTGAGGCAGGAGAATTGCCTGAACCCAGGAGGCGGAGGTTGCGGTGAGCC